TGCAGTCCATGTGGGTCCTAATGCTCCAGTATAGCAACGGGAACACTATACTGTAAACAGGCGCCGTCCTTCAGATGAGATGTAAAACAGAGGTCCTGACTCTTTGTGGTCATTAAAAATCGCAGGGCGTTTCTCAAAAAGAGTAGAGGTGTAACCTCAGCATCCTGGCTAAATTTCCCATCGGCCCTTACCAATCATGGCCTCCTAATAATCCCCATCTATGAATTGGCTTAATTACTCTGCTCTCCTCCCCACTGATACCTGGTGTGTGGTGAGCATTCTGGCGCACTATGGCTGCTGTCGCATCATCGCATCATGTCGCATCACTATGGCTGCACATTGGTGGTGGTGGTGGTGGAGGGGAGACCCCATTACCTGTAACGCACTTTGAGTGGTGTGTCCAGAAAAGCACTATATAAGTGTAAGAAATTATTATTTATTCTCTGACCAAGGTCATTCTTTCCCAGTTACTTAATTGGGAAGAAAGGTCTGTGTGGTTCAGCTCTTGGAAACTTTCAACATCCTATACATTTTTTTATACCTCTCCCTCTGTCTTCATGGTAGAGTTTCTGCGCTGACATGCACTGTCAATTAAGGTGCCTTATATAGACAGGTGTATTTCTTCTAAAATCATATTGACCAACTGAACAGGCTACAGGTGGGCTCCATTCAAGTTTAAGAGTGATCTCACAAGGAAATTAGATGCAAGTTGGAGAAGGTGAATGCTTATCAATACATTTCAGCGTTTTCTTTTAAATTACATAGAAAACATTTTCAGAATTTTTCTTTTTTTGACAATACAGAGAAATGTGTAGAATGACAAATCATGTCGCATTCAGTGACAAGAAATCCCATATAAATCTACAATATTTCTATTTGAGTTTGCAACAATTTGTGCAAAAATCCAAGAGGATGAATACTTTCTGAAAGCACTGAGAGGTTGTTGTTTTATACTTACATCTATTTTAATAAAGGATAAAAAATGGTAACTGTAACCTGAAATAGTACGAAGTTTATTCTTGGGTCTTTCACTTCTCAAGAATACGGAAACCATAGACTAAAAAGTGCTGTTTTGATATACATTTATAACCCTAATTGGAATACTGTATAGATTTAATATTCATTCAGTACATTTTAATGCCATGGTACTATCACACCTTGTAATGAGACATACACTCCCCTCTCAACTGTAAAACTGATTGATGTTAAACTGTTTCCATGTAGTGGAACAGCACAAACCAAGCAATGATGGGTGGCCCAAGATAGTTCATTCCCTGCCTATTCAGAGAAGAGCAGCCTCTGTTACCGGAGTACTTGTAGAGGGCACTACAGTGAGCCTAGCAAATTGATAACTAGTAGCGCCAATATGCGTAAAGTGTAAAATGACACAGAGCCACTGTAGAAACGGTACCACGTTTTTCATTCCATGAAAAGGGAACACCTTTCTTGATAAATTAGCCAATTGTACTTTAAAAAAGTGAAAAAACAAATACTAAGATCATGCTTATTTTACACACCTTTATTCTCTCTTATGTTTTAACTATAGCTATTTTCATTAAAAAAAACATTTTACCTTACAGTTTAAGAATTTAAATGGGTAGATTTCAATTTTCCTTTGCAATCTCACCTTCCAATTAAACAGGGCCATTTGAAAAAGTACATTTGTTCATTTTTAACTTCACTGTAGACAGCCTTGTTCACTTTCTTGCCAGGCCTTGGACAATAATAGTTTATCCGTGCTTTGTTGCTGTTGAAAACTAGTGCAAAGAAAAAAAAAACATTTCAGAACAGAAGAAAAAACATACTGTACTTCTGCTGTATTGCTGTAGATTTTTGCAGACAGCATCGCCCCCTACTGGCTTCTCTGAATGAAAGCCTCCTCTTAGCCTTACTCTGCACACACAACTGGTCAATATTGAAAACTGGATCAGTCAAAATAAGTTTCCAAGTCAGTTTTCATCTTACTTGGAAAAAAATGTTTCGCGGTAAAATTACACCTGTATGAATAAAGATGTTACTCCGACATATAAATATATGCCTATACTATTTCTATTAACAGATAAAATTAAAAGGTTTTTTAATCTCCTATAAAGAGCTCCTATATAGATGCATATGATAAAGCAAGTTCAATCCTGTTGATTTACAGTCTCTGAATAATCATTTTATCTTTTTCAAGGGCTCCTATTAAGTTAGCACTGTAGAACTGGTTTTGGAAAATTTCTTTTTTCCAAAAAAGAACAAAGCCATCAAAACCAGGGGTCAAAGACTAAAACGAGTTAAACCAACATTTTCATCTTTGACTGTTCTCTCGTCAATACCTGGATAATTACAAGCACAGATGTTCCTTCATGGCTTTTTTTTTGAAAGAATGTAAGACCTACAGAAACCTCTATTCCTTCTTATTACATTATTACAAACCCCTCCAACTTTACGTACCTGCTCTGTACTCCAGAGGCTTCCAAAGCCAGAATATGTCACTGCTCAAAACTCAAGATCAACCACATCTCCAGTCTGTCTTCTTGTTAATGAATTACCGATCTTCCCATTTATCAACCAATCTAATTAAACAATGTAATCTAAAACCACAGCTTCTAAGGTTTTTATGCTACTGTATATAATTCAATATGGTCCTGAAGTAATTCATCATTCAATTTATTTATTCATCCATGGGCAATTTAAAAGGAAAAATAAACATTAGAGCAGCCATTTGGTATAACATTCAACAGCAAAGGAATCCAACAGGAATCTATGAACAGAAGGATGATCACCTAACAGCTATCACAGGTCACAATCGTACAATGAATTGTCAAACCATAACTAAGAGCTAGCACACACTGCAGTTACCATGTTAAGCACTTTATTGTACATTGGCTAACCCCCTGGTTTTGAACTGTTCTCAAGATTAACTTTGTTTACCAATCAAACTGGTGGAAGACATCTACTCTTTTGAATTAGGTGTTCATTTCTCAAGTTAGGACTATTTCTTTAACACTTTTTAAAAGGTTGACTTCAATATACTTATACTTTTATACTTTAAAATCATTAAAAATACATCACACTGAATTAATTCAGTTGCCTTTTCTAACTGATTATTGGGTTAAAAACAATTCTACGTGTTAATGTCTTCACTGCACAACTAGCCTGTAATGAGTTTTTCCTCCTAATACCTCCATACTATTTCTCAGGGCAAAATATTTCTGAAAGCAACTGGTTATATCACTGCTAGCTTATCACTTATTTTGTCCAAAAAGGCGCTATAAAAGTGTAAGGAATAGTCTTGTGTTACCAATCCCAATTCATCAGAACACCACGATGGTAATAAAGAGAAGGCTATTCGCCCTATTTGGCATTAGTGGTTATACTAGAAACAATCCCCGCTAAGAATTAATTCCCCTTAACCCTCCTGCAGACAATCTGATTTTGATTAAATTGACAATTCATAGTGGACAACTGGGATGTTTTTGCGAACGAAAGAAAACTGAACAGCTGGCAAAAATAATACCAATAGGGAAAACATGCAAATTCCACACAGACAGCCACTCCATGTCAGAATACAGGACCTTGGACATCTGAGGCTGCAGTGCTAGCAGCCATGTAAATGTGACATTGCTACTTAATTGACCAGACAATGAAAAGTGTAGTTCTAATTCTGTCGGAGGAATGGGAAACATTTCCAGCTTGGCAGCTACATTTGAGAGTAAAAATCAGATGTGCACTGTTTTTTTATCTCATGGCTGAAAAGCAAGGCACAATTGTAATACTGCAAATCAATCAAAACAACCGGTTGCACATTGCATGCATTTAAATCATCCCTATTTCAAAAGCATAACATTTACCTGTTTAAAACCAAAGATTATTGTACTGCTATTTTAGATCACAGATATTAATACTCCCTTAAAAGAATTTATACACATCTTTGTTACTCTTATGGTTGCTGTGTTCTGTCTGGAATTAACCCTTATACCCTGGGAAAACATTTTTTTTTGCATACAGTCATGGTCCAAATCCTTGAGGAATGTTAAGCTACCCAACAAAGTAACCTGAGAGAGGCAAGAGTGCTACAGCAATCATATCTGGCCCATACTGTGAAACAAGAAAGACTTTCAGCTGTTGCAAACATGACATGTCTTGAGGTAACTCATCATAAGTGCCACCAAATGCTTCTTGGAGTCAATGAATAGACCAAATTTAAGATATTCTGAAATGAGATAGCTCATATAATTGCAACTCACACAGTAGAAGAAGACAACCCAGAAAGCCGAAGATCAGAGTGTGGAAATGTATGGCCTGAGGATATGTACAGCATGGGGAGGACTAAGCTAAAACGTTTAAGGATAAATTAATCTGTCAAATAAATGTACAAAAACAATAAAAATGTAAATATGTTAAATAATTAAACTATTAACACAATAGGACTGCATTTGAAATTAGGTGAAAAGCGCCTAATGCAAAAAATATATAAAACTTCAGGCTACAAAAAAACAAGCAATCTGTAAGCATTTTAACATCTGTGAGATCACTACAAGGTGGCAAAGGACTTTTTTAATTGATGTTGTTTAGATACAATAATGGTATTAAATTTAGATTATTTCTGCAAAAGGCTCGTGAAGAACTACTAAAAAGAATGACCTACACTCAGAACAAAGTAGTATTTCAGCTAATTGCAGTATTACTGCTCCAGGGGCACTGTACAAATGGCTCTTAACCCCAAACCTCTCTCCCAGTCTGTGTCTGTGTGTCTCATGGAGAGGAAGTTGGGGGAAGCGAAAAAGACAAATTCCTCATTCAAGAAACTGTATATGACCAATAAAGTGATCTTTTCTCTTATCTTATTAATAACTTCACCACAATGCTGGTGAAACAGATGAGCTCTCCAAGTGGGACCATTACTGGCTTTCACCATTTTATCACAGCATCATTGCAGGGAGGCTCTCTGGGAACACAGAGGCACTGTAGATCAGTGTAAAATGAAACTATGGAAAGCAAGCAAAACAGTTAAATAAAATAAGGAAACTCATCTTTTTATTCACTTTCTACAGTACTAGGTTAGATCTTAACATAAGCATCACTCAAAGCTACTTTCCTATCTTCATTGTTCATTCTTTTGTACACTGCAAAAGCCAATGCATACAATTAAAAAAAAATAGGGAAAGCATGTTCCAGAACTTAATGTAGAAGGGTTTTTCTTTTGCATCATCCTCATATTGACCACTTAAAGAAAGGAAAAAAAAATCAAATATACAAAATACAGATGCTGACATTCTTAAAGCATAAACATTTTGGACAAAAAGCAGTCAAACAGAGGTTATGGTAAAAAGAGGAATATAATTACTTACTTACTACAATTTGGGCACAATACAAAACACAACACAATGTAAGTATCATTGACAATTTTTTTTTTCAATTTAGTGTTCCACAGAAACAGAACTGCAAACCTGGAAAATAAATCCTTTATATACATTGAGGTAAAAATACATTGGTCTTTAGAAGAGGTATTTTTTAACCTATTTTTTAAAAGCAAGTGATGCAAACATCAGAATTCAATCACATGCAGGGTATCATCTCAGGCAGAAAAAAGGCCAATTAAAATAGTCAAACTTAGGCACTAAAATGTGAAAGCTTTCGTCTGCCTGCACCTATCTTTCAAAACAGCAGCCAAATTCATCAAGTGAAAAGCACCTCAGCTGACCCCCAAATAAATCACACCCTTCTGTGACCCACACCAGGTCACAGTCACCAGGCAGTATGAGCAGCGCTTCAGCTTTATTTTCATACCACGCTCAAAATGCCAACAAAAGGAATAGTTTTCATGGTGTTATGTGATTTTTAAAGTTAATGGGAGCAGAAAAACCCTAGCTCTCTTAAGTGTACTTTCACCCTGATACTTCCCAATTGATGACTCGGGATCACCTTCTAATGAGTGAAACATCACCCATTCTTCCACTTTTATCAAACCTGTCATCTTCAACTAATTTCAATTATAACATTTAGTCTTCTACATTTTCCAAATTAAGTGCTCTACTGTTTGTAACAAACAGGAACTTGGTCTCTGGTTTGAGGTCGCAAAAGGGCTTAAAAAATAAACCATGAAGAAAAAAGATCACCTCTTTTTATGTTTGATGTTTTACACCTGTTAGCCCATGTCTTCCTCCACACTGTGGAGTGGCAAACAAAATCATGAGGCATGGCATCAAAAGGGGCACTGGTGCCAGCAGGTGACAGGAAACCGTGAACTCGTTATGGGAAAAAGTTAGGTCCAATTCCCAAACTAAGTTCAAGTTTTCCCGACTCGGAAAGCTAAGGGTTGGCTCAGAAATTCCCCTATTGCGAAAATTGCAGAGCAGCAGAAGGCATGGTTTGTAAAGCCACTAATTGGCAAGACCCACAGAGGCTGAGATATGTCAATTTAAAACACCTGGACGTATGCTTGAATTGTACGATTAAAAGGCTGCTGGTGATTTAAGACACGTCATGTGTGAAGTGATATGCAGGGGGGGGTCAGGGTGTTATGATGATCTCAATATGACATCAACTTCATGAGATGGTCTGTCCGATAAAAAGGTCTGAGGTTGACCTTGGTACTTAGTTCCCTAGATTTTTTAGCTGCAAGAAAAATATTCCACGTTTGTTCACTAGATCACAGCTTCAATAAATGCATCTCCTCTGCACTGGGGTAGTTTTCACTTTTGTTATGACACTTGCATTTCATACTGTGGAACTGCATTTTAAGTAACCTCTACATCAATACTATGTAATACCTAAGTTTTAGTCTATTTCAACTGGGTGATTACAATCTTAACATGTAACAGGAACCAATCACACATTATTCGCATGGCACAACAGATTTCAACGGCTATTTTCTTTCGAGTCATTCCATGACATTTTAAAGGAAATAGTTGTCATTTTAACATGCCGCCATCTGGGATTTTAATGAAAGCTGTTACCTGGGAAAAATTCACATTTCAAATAAAAGCTGGAATACAGCAGTGAAGAACATTTTTGTTCTGAATGAAGTTGGAGACATGGTTTTGGAATAATTCTGCATAAATTCCTCGGTCAGCTGAGTTTGATCAATTACCAGTAGTGACCTTTGACCCTGAGAATTGCCTGCTTCCACACTTAAAGAACTACTAATTCAACTAAGGTCCAGTTTGGGAATTGGAGCTGATAAAAAAAAAATACACCACAGGCAACGAGTCACATTGAAATCTGAGACAGCGCTATGTTTGCAAGTCACTGTTTGTCACAGAATGAACCTTGAACATAGAATTTCATGGCACAAATCTGGCAAGCATTTTTGAATATGTACATCCAATCTGTGAGCTTGCAAGAACCTATTTTTCCTCAAATGTTCCTGTAAACAAATTGAACAAATGAGAATACTATTTGTAGCAGCATGGTGTCCATTACATTGCATTCAAAATAAAAAATACATTACATATGACCATATTACCACGCATTTGAACGTGCAGTGTTTCATAGAAGTGCACTTATTGCTAAATTGAACCAAAATACAGGCATTATTCTTAAACATGACCCTTTTTAATGGTTTCCACATTATTTGTCAATATTGACTATTTGTCTTGTCAGAATAGTAAGAATTATCAGCAAAGTGAGGTTTTATTCTTATTCCCAGATGTAACAGCGCATACTTTATAATTTGGGTATATATACAGTAACAGACAAGCTTTGCCAGTCTTCATCTCAAGCAATGCTATTCACTAATGTACATTAATAACTATAAATGATGCTTGTCATTTTTTCCCAATTTTACTGGACAAGGATTTCGCCTAGCAAGCAGCAGCAATACCTGCTCATAACGTTGCAGACTTCTGGCATCGCCTGTATGAACTTTGGATACAATTCACTTGGAGTCTGACAACTACTCATTAGGAAAAATCCGTGTTCAATACAAGTCCCAAAAAAATACCTTTGATATTTTATTCTTACTTATTACACCAATAATCCATAGTGTCCTATGGATAAAGGAATTAGTTAATTACTTTTCAAATAAAGAATGATAACACTTTTCAGTTTCTTTCTGTAACATACATAAACACACAAAAATGTCCAATTTTGCTTTTAAACATACACGATTATGTGTGATAATATGGTACCTGAATTTGTTCAAAAATATAATTGATAATCTGGTGCTACTTTTTTTATATGGTACCTACTATTTCTTCTACAAAAAGCCAACAAATTTGAAGCCTTCTGTTGGTCCCTTAAGGCTTTCTCAGAGTAATATGAAGTAGTCCATTTGTAACAGCTGATTGATTTTTGTACATTCCTGTAGAAAAAAAGGTTGCCACATGATGCTGGAAAAGCTATGGCTTCAGTAAAGATTCACTTTCTATATTCGAATGTACCACAAATTCTTTTAAAAAATTACATGAACATGTAAAAAAGAAAACTTATGTTTATAAAGTGACTTTTCAAAGATTCCACCATTAAAAAATCTTAAATGACAATAAGAAAATCTAATGTATCATTTATGGAAAAAATGGAAACGTGTAAGAGAACTAAGCATAACATTTTAAAATAGCCACAACAAAATTAAAAATCCATTGTAGTTATATCAGGAGCACAAGTTAATGAAACAGAAAGACAATGGCATGAGAGTGGGCTCATGGCTACCCCTGACCTTAAGCTCTACATGATCCTGTCTTGACCGTCAGTGAACAGCATCCTGTGAATACCCTGAAGAGTTTCTCTGAAGACCTAATGCAAAGATGTGGGCTTTTCACACTGGCTGGGTGTGAATGGTACTGATTCAGAGCAGTGGCACTTTCTGGTTAACACCTGTCTTGGAAGGCATGGTTTTTTAGAAGAGAGCAGTAATATATAAAATATCTATTGCATATGTCATAGCATGTTCGCCAAGACTGAATGAGGTCATGTCCATATTTTCTTCAAAAATCATAAAGAAATAACTTATGTTGATCTGTAGAATAAAACACAAAGAAAAAGGTGCAATATGTTCCACAGAGATAATTCCACATCTCTTGAAGGCAAAAATGAATGGAAATGCTGATTATATAAAGTACCTGATACTAAAATAAGGAATAGTTAATTCCATCCTTCTTAACACTGTTCTTCATTGATTTGACCAGCCCAGCCCCCACTGCAAGTAAAATCATTTTACTTAAAGCACTGTTACCTATACGTTAAGACCACCAAATATAAAATACTTTGTCAAATCAAGATGAAACGTTAATAAAAATAAAGCTAGTCTACAACAGAGTCTGTAAATATCCTGGGAGAAGGAGGTGCTCATAGTGTGCAGAGAGGATCCCACTCAGCTGGGGGGAGTAGTGTCTCTGTAGAGAGAGAGTTCAGCTTATAGACATGTTCCTATTAAGTTTCAAAAAGGCAGTGAGATCCCGCTTCAGTTACCTCGGTGAGGTAGAACAAGTATTCTTTCCAACTGATTGCAACCCAGGTGTTGAAATGAAAAACCACCTTCATAATAATGCTTTTTTTCTCCAAAAAAAAAAAGACGTATAAAAATAAAATAAAACCTTAGGTTTATCAAAGGCCTTCAGTTTACATTTTAATTCCTTCCTGCTGGCTGAGCTGTGACAATGTCTTCTTAATGCGAAGGGCTGTGAGGCGGGCTGCTCCGTTAGCGTACCAACACTCACGCATGATCTTGGCCATCACGCGCAGAGCCTGGGGGAGAGAGGGTAGACTGTTACTGTGCTGAAAGCCACAGCCACACAGGAAAGTAGCACCTGGGACTGTGACCATGTGGATGCCACAGTTTTTAATTTCTATTGGATGCTTTAAATAAAAGATCCATATTTGCTCCAAAATTTTGAAGTGGTAAATTTCTCAGTTATACAAGGAAAAGAGAGCCTGCTTGCATAGAGAAACCAAAACTCATGGAACTAATGGTTTTATGTTTAGAGCCTGTCACTGTGTTCCACTATATCATACTGTGAGCAGAGAGAACAGATAGTCTAACCACTGATTAACTTGTAACACACACATTGGGTGATACACAATGCATGGTTCTTTTTTTGCACCCATCAGGAAAAAGCACACAATTTTGCTATACTGATTCAAATTAAAAACTCTGGAAGAATACTATCTGGACATTTAAGAGGTTTGTATGTGTTTCAAAATTCCAGTTAAAATGCTGAAAGTATGGATTTTTTTTCAACTTTAGTCTTCTTAAGCTGCAAACTATAGGCATGACGACTGGATACTAATGCCCTACAGGAACCTATGTTTTGTTTATTATATGTAACATCTGTTCATAATAAAATAATTGACTTATTCTGACATGATATGGCCATTAACAAACAAATGTTTCATTAAACTTTACCAAGTAATACAGATTTACACAACGACACATCTAAAAATAAGAACAGTGCTTGTGAGCACCATCAGACAGGTGTACCAGAAGATGTTAGTAGTCATACATAACAGGAAATTACATTTAACTTGCTGATACTAATTGTTGTTTGCAGCCGATATTATATGACAAAAGGAGCTACAGTGCTGCTTGAATATCTGGAAACCCCTGTTGTAGTTTTTTAAATGTTGCATTTTTACTATTAAATCCTTGTTTAGTCCTTACTCTTACAAAAGAAATGGTTTATATCCACAAATTCTATGTATTGTGTATTAAGAGGAATTGATGCATGAAACAGAAAGAGAAATAGGTAAATATGAACCGGTGCCTTTGCAAAGGTAAGGTTCATTATCTACAATAGGTTATACAATAATTAGCCAATCAAAGAGCCAATCACCAGGACCTGGACTGTTTGGGTGGCCTTCTATTAGATAAAGTAAGAAATCAAGTCAATCAAATCAAGTCAATTTGGTCTTACCCATACAGGTTAGCGTAAAACACCATGACACAATCTAAAGAGACCTCAGACAACCTCAAGAATAGTGTTGTAAGTGCTCATCTGTCTGGAGGGGTTATAAAACCATTGCAAAAAGTTTTGGAATTCAGTAGTCTACTGTACGATAGTCTACAAATGGAGAAAATTTAAGACCACGGTGACTCTACTTAGATGTGGACATCCTTTAAAATTATCCTAAAGAGCAATACGCAAGCTCATACAGGATGTCCAAAAGAACTCCAGGACCACATTCAAGGATCTCTTTCTGCAGCTAATGTTCATTCCTCAAAAATACAATGTGAGCTGAATAGCAATGGCATTAATTGTAGGGTAGCAAAGAAAAAACCTTTGCTCTCAAAAAAGCACTGTTCATGTTAAGTTTGCAAAAGACCATCTGGATGATGCTTTACATTTTTGGAAGAACGAGTCTGAAATAGATCTTTTTTGCCACAACAAAACTACCACGTTTGGCAAAAACCTTACACTGCCTACCACCAAAATGACCTTATCCCCATAGTCAAGCATGGTGATGGAAGTGTCATGGGTTTGAGGCTGCTTTTCTGCCCTTGGACCTGGAGAACTCGTGACCCCTGAAGGATCACTGAAGAAACTATGAATTTAAGATTGTTTAAGGCTTATGAAAGATGAATGGTTCACATACTTTCAAGCAGCACTGTACAATAAACAATGTGAAAACTGGCTTCTATCAATTAAAAAAAAGAGTGACTAATCACATTACCACTTAAAAGCCAGATTATTCAGTGAAGCATCTGGTCCACAGCAAGATCATCCTCAATTAACATTTCAATCTACTTTTTTAACTGTAGTTAAGTACACTACTTTAAATGTAGTTGACAAAGTACACAATGGAAATCATGTCAATGGAGTAAGGCTTTGTCACACAGGCAATGTACCAAGCTATTTGGTAGAACAACAGTGACATTGAGAATGCCTGGAAAATCATGAACATTTCCACATGCTTTTCTACCTGAAAATTTGGAAATTCCAAGTGACAGTGGTTTATTATGAAATGATGCATAATAGATGTGAAGCCAACAATTTATTCATATTAAAAAAATGCTTTCTTGAAGGAAATGGCATTTTGAGCTTCAAAATTTCCTCTCCACATACAATTCACCTTTTGTAAAATTACCTTTTCTATTAACCGGCATTAAGATAATTCTATATGCCATTTATTGTTGACTCACCATATATTTTCCTGCAAAGTATTATATTCATGCTCAAGTACTGCACTTTAAAAAACAAAAACATAGTACTTCCTGCTGTCTGCTTTCACGTCTCATTTGTGGTTTGTGATCTAGACACTGTCTGAATAAAACAAGTCAGCATGCCGGTTGGGTTGGGTGTGGAATGTTAGTCATGCTGAAAAGGTATAACTGTGCTCTGCACCAAAACATAAACAGATAATCACTTGTTCACTGTATGATTCCCTTACCATTCTTTAACTGTTTGTTGACTGCCTACCAAATCACATTATAATGCTTTACAAATGGCAGGTTAAGAGTAAGATCATACATTAATCGCAGGCTTCTATGTTTTGTGCAAAACACTTATTCACTAGAGAGAGAAAGTCAGACCTTGTCCATTTAATCTCCTGAGTTTATTTAATCAATTGAGCCCTGTTTCTTAAACAGCTTGGCAGCTATTGTAAATTCACAGCAGAAGATTAGATTACAGATTTTATTATTGTGAATTGGGTCTCATCTGATTATAGTCTGTTTCAGAGGACACTAATAAAGAAGAAAAGTGAATCCATCTTTCGCACACATGGTGCAGCAGTGAGAAGAGCGTGTACATTTCAAGTGCCTGCCAGCAATAATGGGTTTGGAAACTTGAGAAACTGTGCACATCTGAAATTCCCATTTACAAGGGTGCACACTGAGATTCTGAGGTAAATCCAATTATGAAATCCTACACCGATAGGATTAGACAAGTAATTAAATTTCACTACAGATATACACAAAACCCACACATACTGTACAGTTTTGGCTGTGAAGATGGGGGTTGGGCATAAATCTTCTTGAAAGCATACAAAAATGATTACAGGTATTTTATCTACTGGCTGATCTTCCTTCTTCTAGGGTGCCCTTTAAAAAGAACCCAGCCAAAAAACTTGTCCCAGCTTTCTCCCAGTTCTCCTCAGTTCTCCTGTTCTCTTCTTTAAAAAGATTAATGGGCATTTAATGAATAACCAAGATAAAATGCCAGTAAAATAAATTTGCTTTTGTATTTCCTTTTGAAGCAGATAACATTCTGCACAAACCAAAGGTTAGTGTACAGTAATGTATAGTTAGTTTCTGGCAACAGCCGACGGGTTTAACCCTCATTGTATGAATTAGGGTCTTTTGCCTCTATGCCAAGGAAGGAAACGGAAGACAAACCTCGCAGCTCTGCCACCTGTTGGGAATGTTGGGCCGCAGCTTCTGTTCACACACCACTTTCCTCATTTCCTCCACCGAGGGGTCAGACTGCACCAGATCATAGTAAGGGAGCTGGTAGTCTTCATGGATTCCTGAAGACAAAGTAACTGTCAGATTTCACTTCATTTCATTCAAGCAATGCTAATCTGAAGCGCTTTCGCTTCCCAAAAGACTGCATTTGTTTGTTGAAACTGGTTAACAATATAATGCAACTAAATCATGAAGGATTCACATTTTTTTAAACTGCTAGTTGAGCCAAGAAAGATTTAGACAACTCAGAATTATGAAATACAGAACAAGTTAAACTAAAAGATCCGTTTTGTACTTGATATTAACCACAAAATATGTGCACTATTGGGATGCTGTCTTTTTCTGATTTGAGTAGATCACAATCTGCTGCTGGCCACAGTAATAATTTTACATGTAAAAGCTTAATTTTGGTGGACAAATTAAGTTCTCAAACTAAATTGCTCCCGAACAATCTTGATTAATAACGCAATCCAACAGGAAATCAATTTGAGTAACGCAGAAAGTTTGTTTCTTTAACCTATTGTAACAAATCTCTACTAATTATGATGAATAAGCAAAAGCGGCAAAAAAAAATACACAAACTTTCTCTACAGTAAGATTCAACTACGGCATCTTAAACCCACACAAAAACAGGGAGAACACAGAAACTATGCAAATAGCACCCCAGTTCCAGAACTCAACCCACTGTGGCATCCTCTACTATTAGTGTTGAATGCAATTACAGCAAAACAGTTGGAGTAATATGAGCCACAATTACATTGAGAATACCTGCTAATAAGTATTTAATAGCTTAAATGTTTGACTAGCGAATAATTCACTTCTATATCCTCAAAACCATGCTGAAATAGAGCCACGGGATAACCTTCCTTTAATTTTTTTAAATATTGAACTGTACTGAAACCTGGTATTAATATACAGCCAATGCACATTCTTGCTTTCTTTCCAAAACATCAACATACCAAAACTGCGGACAGATATGGACCAGCACTCACCACCAATAGAACACCTGCGAGCAATCTCCCAGAAAACCAGTCCCATGGCATAGATATCTGCTCTCTTGAAAGACTCAAAATGCTTCATATTTATAGAATCATCCAGGACTTCTGGAGCCATGTACCTGTTGAGAAATGGAATGCAAAAAAAAGGACTCATTTCTTCTGATGTAATACATTGTTAAAGCTTTGCGTGACTGAATTAAGTCTTAGATTTTAGATAAAGTTTGTGACACTGGGAAGAATTAAATAACTAACTTCAAAGAGAAGAGGATGTTTGCTGAGGTCTTGGGGTCCCTTAAACTTTACTATTGTTTTGGCTCATCTTGGTATGCCTAGGCAAGGTGTGGAATGATAATTGCAAAGGAGCAGAGCAGAAATACACAGTATAAGTTCACAATTAGTGGAAAGCAGGGACAGACAGAAGTCCAGAAGAGTGGGGACTTGCAGCTTGCGCCAGGCAAGAGCTCCTGCTTCATGATCATCCAAATCAAACCTGATTGGAGCTAAGTATTCATTAGAGAGAGTGCGCTTTTCTGTGTTTTAGGGAATTTGGGTTTCCTGGGTAAGTCAGAAACATCTTTCCTGATTAGGGCGCATTTTACGGACAGGGATATAGGCTCCCACTTATTTTGTGGAATACAGGGTGCACAGAGAAAGATTTACTTGCAGATTGCTTTGTAACATGGGACAGTGGCTCTGTGGATAAGTATCTGTGCCCGTGGCTGGAAGGTTGCTGGTTCGTATCCCGTGACCAGCAGAGGAATCCTATTACGTTGGGCCTCTGAAGGCCCTTAACCTCCTTATCCCCAACGGCTCCAGGGCAGCCATACAAATGGCTGACCTGTGCTCTGACAGCAAGCTTCTCTCCCTGTCTGTGTGTCTCATGGAGAGAAAGTTGGGGTGTGTGAAAAGACAAATTCCTCATACAAGAAATTGTATATAGCCAATAAAGTGATATTTAGTAAGAAGGTAGCTCATTTTTAGTGTGGCCTTGGTAGGCATAATAAGAGTTCAGTGCTTAGTAGCAGTCTGTGGTTTTCTGGGTGACCAGAATGTTATGCCTCTGAAACGCCTTGTTTGTAAATACTGTATATAAAGTAAATAATGTGTATAAAGTTTTTTTCTTTGTTGTCATTGTTTAAAAACATCTGTCCAGCCCCATTTGTAACAATATAATGTAACTTGGTGTGTTGCATTGTGTCTTGTGTAGTTTATTGTAATAAAATATTTGTTTTAGCCAAGGGTGCCTGGAATTTTGCTCCTCTCAACAAAGCTGTGCCAGAGAATAAAGAATTCACGTGCCTCTATTTATACCAGCTACACGGGTATATGGTTAGAAATCATATTTATTCATAATTCATAATTATTTCACTGATTGACTAAACCACTCAGTCAAATCCTGATTTTCACCAGTTTCGTAACCCCCCATTTGTAACAATATTTATACATATTTCTTATTGCTGCTTCAGTAGCTGACTTGTACTTACAGTAACACAGCTTTTTCTAGTTAATCAAAGACCAAATGAATGAACACCTTTTACGGATCACACCACCAAGGATATGAGCGCAGGGGTATTTACCAATATAACTAGTTACTACAAGATGGTGAGTGAAAGGATTTCTGCTGTACTAACCACTGCAAAACACTCACTGCATAAAAATACTGTGGACAGTCAAGAATGAAAAGATCTGAACACTTAAGCTATGTAACAGCAGGCACCCTTCCACAATGCCACAACTCTCATTGTAAGGGTTGTTTATTGTTTATTACCCCAGTAATGCACAGTTACCGATTTTAATGTTTAATTTACTATACATCATTTACATAACACATCCGAACAAAAAACTGACACTTTTAGTAACACCTCACTTTAGCTGTGCCAGTACAGCCAGACTCTTGAATATAATTACAAAAAAATCTTTACAAATGTGAACATTATGGAATTTTCCGTTCTCCACGTTTATTTCATACTATACCAGGCCAGGTTTCTCAGTCAGCTTCCTTTGTTAGAGTGAAGATGAACGGAAGTGGGTTAAGAAAGGACAAACCCAAGATGGGGTAACATTTTTGTTCTGGTTTTTTTTGGTTTGTGAATGACACTGCAGTTTAAACTGTCATGTGTAAAAGTTTCTAAAGTTGTACATAGGTAGAAAAACAGTTATATGGACATGAAACTGATGATGTGACAAATAAACTAAAGAAATGCACCCTGTTTTCAATTACAAATTTACAACAGGTTAAATAAACCACAACATGGATTCTAGATAATCTAATCTATTAGGAAAATATTTAGGGTTAAGAGAATAAAATTAAGTATGTTTGGATCTGCCACAGAAAAGAAAACCAATCATGTACATCACTGTCTAATGCACGGTTTGATACTAACTACATCAATGCAAGGGAATAAGAAATTTCATGATTCTAGCCAAAACAAAAAAGTTGATAAATAATTACACATTTCAGCTCAAACAATATACGGGTGCCAAAAATCTACAGAAGCACAACAGTGCGAGAAAATATGATTTTCTAATAATTCATCATATTTGTGGAAAATCTAATTTTCTTGCTCATGTACTACAATGTTCTTGAATCCACATGCAGACCCTTCCATACATCGTCAGCTCTGTTCATACTATTTGTGCCAAGTCTCAGATGCTCAACAGGCACGCAAGGAGAGTGATACAATGTTTGAGGTTTCTCAAGAGGCTTGCAACTGGAAGATCCGACTATTCTCAAGCAAATAGAGAGTAATAATCTAAAAACAGACTATAAATATACTACAGACTAAACACTGACTTAAAATACTTGTTGGGATTTAAAACTACCATCGCTAAGTAAAAATATAAACCAAATCCCTTGCAAACCAAACACTACTGAAGAGCATATCAATGCCGAGAAATCAGTTTGATTACATTTTCCTTGGCACACACAAGACAAAATTCAACTAATTTCCAACTAGCTTCTTACGAAGACATACCTGCAGTCAAGTCAGAATTAATACTCAAATTAACATGGCGAAAGATGCATTTTAAACACTAAAATCAAGCATGATGAATTTCTCTTTTGAACATAAAAAAGGTCTATATCTGACCTTTTGCATAGTAAAAAATGTTTGTCCTTTGCAGTCAAAGATGTTTGTCCTAGCTGTCAAGAGGGCACAAAACACAAGTCCTTTTCTATGTCTATGATGTCTCATTGAAATGAACTCAGCAAAAATAGCCACCTCTACTGAGCATAAAGGATACCACATGGATCAATATGTTCAGTGTATAAACATTCCATAGATTATACAAGAATGAAATGATCAAAGTTTGAATGACAATACTTAAAAAAACAGTTAGTTTCACTTATACTTAAAATAATTATTCCTAAATAAAAAAAAATTAAAAATCAACTTTATGATTCGCATCAAATATAGTCCATGAAATGTGTTAGCATTGCTAAATTATTCACAATGGAGAATATTTTTAATAAAGCGTGTGTGAGTTATAAATCAGTATGGTGAAATACTCTGAAAAAAATGCCTCTACAGGAAGGAACATATTCCAGAATGAAACAATGACCACTGCCACAAAAACGACGCATCTTTCCTTTCAATACATCTTTCCTTTGTATTGTAACAAACATGCTGTGGGCCTAACATGACATTTACTTATTATATCTTCAAAGGCAGCCTCTGAGGCACACAATCTTGTGCCCAGTTCAAGATTTAATGTTGTATTTGTGTAATGACTTGTTTAATGGTGATTTCATTTTTGGCACTAATTTTTTTACTCATCCGCCAAAGTTGTGCCAGAGAATATAAAGATGTCATGTGCCTCAAATTGTTACTACTGCTCCGGTTAAGTTTTGACATTCATAAATTTTATTATCCAAACTTTATTTTCCAGACTTTCCTAGTCTGTAAGAGTATTATAAAATTAATGACTAATGCACCTGATGTTGTTAAATATTTTAAATCATTTTATAAATAAACTTCAGAGAGGAAATACACAAGATTCAAATCCTGTTTGTAAAGTATTAGTAAAGATTCTACACGCCACTGAATACAAAGGCAAAAAAAACCAACCTATTTTGTCTGAAAATATGCTTTGCAAACTAGGACAAGGTGAGCCACTGAAAAGGACTGAAGAGACACAGGGCTTCATTATGGTACTGAAATTGTGTTTTTAGCTTTTTAGTAATACATCGAATCATTATTTGTTTATGCAGACTTTTTTGATGATGTGTCCAAGAATTCAACAGTTTTCTAAATCTAAACAGATACTGTCTAACAGGACTTTGTCCCATTCCTGTCTTAGATTTCCCATGACAAGCGGGTTGCAATTAATTGCTACAATTGGAGTGTTTTAGCATCTGCAAACACTCTTGACCAGACTACTGTACTTGCATTGTGGACTACCACTGATGGTGTGTTTTTGAATGTTGGAACCTGCTTGCTGTGAACACCCGAGATGGTCAGCAACAGACTTAGACTACCTTACATGCTGATGGCAAGAAGGCAAGTTGTCTTTATAAGTGGAGCATATTGGTTCCTTTCTCAATTTTCACCAGTTTGATATTTAACAAGTTAAATCACCTCAACTCCTGTGCCCAGTGAACTGACTCATTAATTCGGTAACAGGGACAGTCATGAATGATAAAATAATCAAAATGGCACCATAAGCATTAAATCAATATCCTAAATCTACATACTTTTCTAAAAACATACAGGCACAAAAATGTTTTCAGAGCCCGTCTATTTAAAGAAGAAGAGAAGATTTTCAATTATGTATACAATGGTGGTGCACATGCTAGAAATTTAAATTCTACAGTAACTCAAACTTGCAGTCCTAAAGCTTGTGGTGTTCACTGCCTGGAAAGAACCTCTCCTCTACAGGAACTCTACAATGCTTCTTGCTGCCAAAGATCTGTAGTACTGAGTTATCATACTTTGCATAAGCTACGCAAGTTTTACACCATGTATTACCTTTTCGTTCCCACTCTGTGGTTTGGAGCAATATCAATGGTGTCTGTAGCCGAATCATGCCTAACTGCTAGACCTAGATCCGCGATGCAGCATGTTCCGTTCTTTTTCACCAAGATGTTTTTGGACTTGAGATCTCTGTGGGCAATTGCAGGTTTACCTGTTCATTTATTAACAAGAGAAGAAATCATATTGTTACTGTTATGAGTAAAACAACATTGAAACCATCCATACGTATAGTTACAGAACAGAATTTACTAAAGATGACTGCACTCTGGCTCAACAGGGAAGAAAGTCCAGTAGTAGAAACTTGAGCAACAAGAAGAATTACTCAGCCTGTCAGATCTGACAATTTAAGAGGAAATAAAACTAAAAGGGTGAGCATAGGTACCTTTCCTTAAATAGTTAATGCAATGAATGTCCACATAAAGTTACATCAAATGTCAGCAGTCTGTTCTGACATGCTGTTCTCTGTACCACTGGATAACGAGGGATTGCGAGTCAGAGGCTGCACCTGTGTTGTTGACGATTTCAAATCACAGTTAAAATGTAAGCTCCACTTAAGTCCATACAAGGTTCCTCTATTGTGGCCCTGTTATTGGAGCTGTACCTGCCTGCAGGGAATAATTCATTTTGAAAGCACTGCATTCTTGACAGCTCCATTCACTAAACAAATGGCTTCATTATTTCCAGTGCTTAGCTGCTGCCTGTTAAGGACAGCCTTGCATATTGAAGCAAACCTATAGGCAGACAAAACAGGAAAATGTCTTTCACAATAAAAGGGAAAAATCAGCACTTCTTTACTATTTATGGGCAATAAAATAGATCGTCCAAATATTTCACTTAAATCAACATATTCCATAGAGCCTGTTTTGACACAAAATTACTGGATATGATGAAATACTGTTTGCTTTAAGAAGCCATTTACTTACTGATGAAAATCCAGAAACTGGATACAAGCGTTAAAGAAATATGATTTTTGTGTGTGGACTCATACACCTCACTAGTTATGTAAATGACCGTAGCCTTAAGTAATGCACTTACATATCATGTGGACAAGATCACCTAACAATCTGCAATGCTCTGAGATTCCTTAGTTGCCAATTACAATGTACTGGACTGTATTCACATATAATACAGCAGAGAATCCAGGCATATGAAGCAACCATACAAGCATATCTGTTAGTTTCAGAACTAGGAATGGTACAGATTTAAAAGAATGGACCTAATATTGCAGTGTTTGCAGAGGACTTTGATCTTTACTCACCTTGTGTTCCGACTATTTCCATGTGGAGATGGGCCAGTCCACTGGCTGTAGATAGCGATAGCTTAATCATGCCCTCTACAGTGACTGTGTATCTGTTTAAATAGTCAAATAACGATCCATGCTCATGGTAGTCAGAGACCAGCCACAACTGAGTCCAGGTTCCATTATCTGAGAAAAACAATTCACAAAATAGTGTGAGAACAGACCTGAATTTTGCAACATATTTAAGTTCGTACAAAAGCATGTCAAAGAGGAGGGACAATGTTTTTGGACATATCCTACTGATCTCAACTGATCCTACTGTTTTTCATGTCTCATCTCTCTGCTATGATCTCCACAATCACACACATCAGAATAAGAAAGTGGAGGAAGACCTCTCCCACATTCTCCCACTGCTTCCTCCCTCCCACCTTCCAGTCACTTGTCTTTGAGCATGTAACAGGCTAAGCAGCCCGTCCTGGACTTTAAACGTCACCTAAAGAGAGGGTGCCCCTAACCGACAACACGTGCTCTAGTGAAAATTTGCAAGTGAGGTCACGGTGTTGCTGAGCTGAGCACACTCTGGCCAACTAATCCCTTTCTACCCTCAGCCAGCTGTGCAACCCTGCTTTGGGGTTACTAGAGGCAATAAGGGTATCTTTTGCAAAGTAAAAGTGATCTTTGTGACTGGCCAGGTGTCTGTCAGCTGTGTCACACCTTCAACTGGAGTGAACTAAGCTGTAGATCTTGCAACATGAAAAAGAGAGCATCAATATCGCACAATTCAGAAGAGGGGTGTAGCGGTCAGCTAAATTCAGCAACAATTACCAATCACTACTTTCTTAAAGTATTGAATCTTGGCTTTTACTATGCATTTTGACATCTTAACAAATTATAGCTGAAGACACAAACATTTCAGACTACACCGAGATGCACACCCGTTACTTTTAAAAATCTAACAACGAGCAGTGCAAAACCTTTATTGTCAGCCGCAATGAATCCCAGGATATTTTCATGACGTAGCATGACGGTCTGGTAAATCTCCGCTTCTCGAAACCATGAACGCTCTTCCCGGGAAGAAAAGATCTTCACAGCAACTTCCTCTCCTCTCCACTTCCCCCGCCAGACCTCACCAAAACGCCCTTTTCCAATGCTCTCCTGCAGAACTATTGTTCTTGCGATAGTTCTTTGAACCAACAAGGGCAGACCTGAAAGTGGAGAATTAATTTAAAAAATACAGCTAAAAATAAGCATTTTGGACTTTGAACTTCA